GTGAGCGTAAGACGAGAATGAATTTGCAATTACTTTTCCAGTGTTGCGTTCTGTTGTTCAAGTTTCTCATGTTGTTTAATTTTTACTGCTTCTTCACTAATTCTTCCCTGAGTGGCACAACAGGGCCTTAAGAAGGTCTGTTGGGCCTTCTTGAGGGGAGTCCTCACAGTGTACGTGGTCCTCTTAAGGAATATATAAGTGACATGAAGAGTAGAATAACTTGTATTTTACGGAGTGCTGCTGTGGTGTATTTGAAGCGCTGCTCCCCCATGCTGTTACTGGTCCTTCCCCTGAAGGACGTGGGAGCCTCTCGCAGCAGTCGGGGGGATGCGGCAGCTGCCCGCTGCAGTGGTCGGGTTAAAAAGGGTTAAGTTTGAGGCCTCAAAGTTTGACCCGGCCTTGCTGTCGGCCTTGCTGTCGAAGGTGCGGGGACTCCCTGGTTGACAGCAAGGTGGCTTTCGCCCAATGTGTCGTCCCTCAAGGGCCAGCAGCCCTTTAGAGTTTTGCTTTTTTTTAAAACCAGAGCTGGTTAAGTTTGAGGCCTAAACGTTCGACGTGGAGTCGATGCAAACAAATGTGTGGATTGAGCATGGGGGAAAGCTTGTTTTCCCTCCCGGGGATGGATAAAATAGGATCTCTGTTGCTGCGCTGGTCAAGGGAAAGACCTCCGTGCGGTAATGGGTGCAGGAACAAGTTTTACAACAAAAACATTTGGCTGCGTGAAGGCATTCCCCCCTGCTGTCCCCCACAGCCTTTCTGGTCTTTGTTGGTGTTTCTCTCCCATCTTGCTTTTTGTAGCCAACCTGAGTATAAAAGGTGAGGGTGGCAGGCGCTTTAAAGGGGCTCAGAGGCCCCCTGAGAGCCCGGCCTCTGTGCCGCGTGCCTAGCAAAGCGGGGCAACCGCTGGGGCAAAGCACACGGCCGCTCCCCCGCCAGCGGTTGTCGCTTGAACCACCGGCCCCTGCGTCGAACAAAGCGAAACGGAGCCGCTGCCCTCAATTCATGCTCCCCTTACACTCCAGTAGCAAAATCCTCTTCAAAAAATGGAGTTGCACGGCGTTTGGCATAGGCTCTCAAGCTATTAAAACACACAGAATACCTCCAAGGCGTACATATTCCGGCTGCGTGATATCTGGCCTATCTTCTACCTAGCACTGAACAAAAAAGAAAGAAAAAAAAGCAAAAAAAAAAAAAAAAAGAAGGGGGGAGGGATGGTACCCAAGTCAGCGTCGCCTTGAAGCTGCGTTGCTCCTTGCACGCAGCGCGGCGCAGCAAGGGCACAGAGCGAGGGCTTGAGTCGGCGCTGGTAAGGCTCTCCGTGCCTGGACGATTTGGGAGAAGTCTGCAGGCTGGACGCAACCTTGCTGTGAATTCTGTTTGACAACCGGGTGCTAAGGAAACGCAGGCTGGACTTGTACTTGTACCCTGTGAAATTACTTAGAATTGATAGATATTTCGTAGTCTGAGGGTAGTTGGAGATGTTTTCGTTCTATGTGTGCTGAAAGAATGCTATTTCAAAATACTTTAAAATCCAGAATTATTTCAGAATAAAAATATTTTAATTATTGCAGTCATCCAGAAAGAAACGAGAATAGTTTTTGGAAAATTTTACTCACTCACTGCGAAAGGCTGATCAGTGCTGTTTGGAGTTACCAGTTGACACCTTCCATCTCTTCTACTGTATTTGGTGTTGGAATAAAAAGTTTAATTGCTAATAGGAAGGGGGAGATTATTTATTTAACTAAAATTGCATTTTCTATTGATAGGGTTCTTTCTAGTGTTCTTTTCTTCCTTTTTTTATGTTCAGACTTTTGAATTGAAGCATTTTTCAGAGTTGTCATTTTTATTTTGAATTTGCTGCTGCCTTTTTTTTTTTTTTTTCCCCTGATGAACAGTAGCTTTCTTGTTTGGCAAAGAGCCCCTCTAAAAGAATTATTTTTAAGTGGCGCTCAAATGATGTGAGGAGGGCGTTTTAAGCCATTCATGTATGTTTGTGTCAGTCAGTTTACCAAAGCCTAAAGTGAACCTCCACACAGTATGTAAAGAAAACTGAGAGTTGGTAAACACTTCCTGCCTAGCAATGTCTGTCTGTGGGGAATCAGTCTTGATACTTTTAAACTTTTAAATGTGTCCAAATAATGCAAAATCTAGGGATATTTTATTTCAACTTTTTATATTATAATAGGCTAAGCTAAAATAATAAAGTGGAAACAATATATATTTTGGTGAAAATTATACACTTCCATGAAGTATTTCAGACTAATCAAATCTTTTGGTAGTTTTTAAAATCTATCTATTTTTTTCCCCTCAGGCCTAATTGAATATAGGGCTAAGGGCATCTTCTGAGAGTGGCTAAATATCCCTCTTCTAAGTAAAGCTTGCTTCATATCCTCATTTTCATAACTAATCTTCGTTAATGAAAATGTTATAAATAATTAAAGTGAAATATGTGAAGAGTGCCCATAGGAAAGCTGTGGCCAAATAAACAAAGGGACTCTGAAGCTTTGGATTTGTATGTGCCCAAACTGCTGGAGACACAGTTCCTGTCAGACTAGGTCTGGGCTCTTAGAACTTTTTGTTGGACTTTCAGACAAGAAGCACTATAGAAATCTGTATTTTAAAATGGGACCTACTTTAGAAAAAAAAAAAAAAGCCAGGACGAGCAGTTTTTTAGTGGTTTGAAAAATTTAGACAAAGCAGCCGAAACTTTATTTAACATAATGAAAATCCATGAAAATCTGCCCCCAATGCTGCTGCTTTTTTTTTTCTTTTTTTTTTTTTTTTTTTGGTACATGGTGCTGAAAATTTCAGAAGAATGTGTGGCTTGTTTGAGTACGCCATTGTGTTAAAAGTAGAACAATTACCCTACCATTTCTTTATTTTTTTTCTTTATCATTTAATGAATTTTAAATCAAGTCTTTGATTATGAGACAATATGGGTTGCTACTTGGCAGAACTAAAGGCTGGGTCAAATAAATGAGGCTGTTACTCTTGTGAATTTTATCGGAATAGTTTCATTCATCAGTGGGCAGTGGACGCTGTAGTGGAGCTGGGTTATTTGCTCTTGGGCATGTTTGTACCTCCCAGTACAGCTTCTCAGTTTCCAAGTGGCTGCCATCATTTATGTAGCCCTGGTGTTTCTTGTGAGGCTGCCCTTCAGCTTGGTCCTAAACTGCTGTTTTCAGGGGTTAATTTAGATGTTGTGTTAATAAACTTGCTCATATAGACTTCTGAATTTGTGATCTAGTGTGATTTTTTTTTTCCCCCCCCTCTCTTGACAGGCTAATAAGCTAGTTCCAAACCTAGCCATAATATAAAAATGCTTCATTGAAGAAATGAAATTGCACTTGTAACACATTTCTCAGATATTCCCTCTCTGAGGGAAAAGGTAGATTGAGTAAATACTGCTGATAGCACTTTACATGCTGAGCAGATACAAAATGAGCAGCAAATCAAAGCCAGAAATGAATTGCTTATAGAAAATAAAAGGGACAGATTAATTTAAACATAATAAAGTTATTATATAGTATGTAACTGAGATGAGTGTTGTAACAGTTTCGCCTTGCTTTCTGTTAGGTTTGTCCTGCTGATGTGCTTAGACTGTATCTATTTATTTACATATTAGGAAGAATCAGAGGTGAATGAGAAGCCTTAAAATATGCAACTGTAGATGTGTAGCTCTTTGTTTTTTGAGATCTGAAGTGACAGATGTATAAATATATATTCTTTTGTTACTGTTCTTTATACTTTTAGCTAAATTTCAATAACTTGATATTTTCTTAGCATTGTAGTAGTAGTTTGGTTCTGTGTGTTAGAGAATACAGTATTCTTTAATCTTCATCATGTGGTGTTTGTAGTACTTAATGAGGATAAAAAAGGGGCAAGACTTTCCTTTTATAGTTGTGGTAACTGAAAAAGAAACAAAAAATGTATGAAAATTGAACCATTCATTTTGGGCATGTTCAGGGCAGAGAGTTGCTGGTACATCACATCTTGCATTGCTGAGACACACAGTTGCCCTCGCATTTAATTATGGTTGTTATCATACCTGTTGCCATAGAAGAGTTTTTAAACTTTTATTAATCTGTTTTGTTAATCAAAGCTGCTTCTTGTTTGTTTATTTTTGGTTAAGGTTCTGTTTCATTAAGGTATACTTTAAGGTTTATATATATAAGGTTTCATTAAGTATGCTTTTGCTGTTTCCTGTATCTTTTGTTGACATAATTCACCCACCGTTAAGATCAGTTGATAGCAAGTAACGCTGTTAGTTTACTTTGCTAAATTGAGACAAAATTTAGCATTTAGAAATTTTTCTTCATTCTCCATCAGGAAATACCTTCTAGTTATGTTGAGTACTCTGTCAGACTCTGGATTCTTGTTTTCTCTGCAATCAAAGTACCAAGTGTGCTGAGTCTCCGCGCCTGTTCTGTGCGTGCCACATCAAGC